ACGGCCTGGTTTTGAAACACGCTACAGCTCGTCTTGGGTAGATACCTGTAAATTATAATCAATCGTTACCTTTTCACTGGTAAGAAACCACAGTTTCACTCCTTTTACTCGAGACTTATACGGCCATTTTCGCCAACAACCCCTTAATCATGTCTTAACTAAAAGTTATTTAACGTAAGGGAGCACCTAAGGTAGCCCCTTACTTGTACTTATTTATACCTACTGCTAGATATGACTCACAGATCGGTGAAAACTAAAATGGCCTTAATTTTTTTTATGGGATAAGCCTGTACACGAACAGATGAATCGCCTGATGGTAAGCAATCGGTGCCGCAGCTGTTACATTACAAAACATTACATTACAATCAATAGTAGGGAAGGACATAAAGAAATCGTAACTATATGTAGGAACTACGGTTCCAAGCGTGTTAGCAAATAAACCAACGAGCTCACAAGGTCGGCAGGCAGTTACTTAAGCCGTAATAATGAAATATTCATAAAGGTACCTATGTAATACACAGGTACTTTGGCATGGTTACAAGAAAACATTACATTAAACTAATTTAACGCCACAAAATGACGCGTTTTACTCGTTAAAAAGCAGAAGTGTGCCTATTGTACTTACCTAAGAATATCTTTATTTTTTTTACATCGAATGACTTCTCCCGCCTGGGTGAGGCGGGAGGGAGTGTCAGACTCTTATTGACAAAAAAACACCCCGTTCCTACTCCTGCACTTCGAGCCGGAGCCCCGGTAACCCGTTAAGTTCTTCGCGGCAAGAATATCATTAATGGGTACCCAATTAAGTTTAAAAACACGGTATAAATAAATAAAACGTAAGTAATAATTATAAGTATAGTATACCTTATTTTTACCTAGCCTTAGGGCCCTCGCCCACAGCGATATTTTATAGTGATGCAGTAGCGATGCTGTTGCGCGTCAGCATCGATATAGTCGCGAAATGCACATAAAAAGTAACACGCGTTTGTACTTAGTAGCGAATTACCGATGCTACTTTTAACGAACATGCGACAGCCGACAACATCGCTACAGAAAGTCATCGTGGGAGAGGGCTCGTATCATGTCAATTTTCATTAATAAATACCAAAACCAGATAATATCGGCAGAAAAGAAGAGATCCTCTGGAGAATATAGCGGTCCCATCTGATTTCACCCGTTCCTCGCAATTTTGAAGCTAGTCTAATTGTCCTAGGAGGAGGCGGGGCGCATGAGGTAGCGAAGCGAAGGCTCACAACCCAGCCGTCGCGAAAGACACTCCGGGCGTCGGGGATCGCGAGACGATCTCCGGCCACCATAAGCACGGGCCTGCGGACGGCGAGCATGGGTGGCTCGCCGCCCGACCAACCAGACCCGAGCGTGCGGCGTGCTCAAAGAGCCATCAGACCACCACGGATGGGGCCCAATAGGGCTGATGCCGATACGGAGTCGCGGAGAACCTAACGGGTTACCGGGGCTCTGGCTCGAAGTGTAGTAGTAGGAACAGGGTGGTTTTTAATCAGTAAGCGTCTGACACCCCCGTCACACCCAGGCGGGAGGGATTTTTCCCCCTTTAAAAAAGAAGTCTATCTCCTCAATCCGATACCTGATAGTGATATGTGTAAGATATGAAAAGTAAAGTCATTCCTGTGTTCTAAGATGGTAACTAAGATACGATATATTATAATTTTTATACTTAGTTAGGTGTCTACTTAAATAGTGACGCAGAAACTTGTCGGTTTGTGTACGAAAGGCGAGACAATATTTGCCGAGGCGATTACTTTCGGCGTGGGATCAATTTACGATAATTGCCAGAACTCTATCGTTAGGTATAGTAATGTATAGTTAGGTACCTACCTATGTATTTCTTTCATAAGTTTTTGATAACTACTTTCACTTGCAGTCGTTAAGTAGTAGAAAGTACTAAGTACTTAGAATCAAGTACTTTCGCTCTTTCGCAGATAGAGACCTATGATCAAATCATCAATTTAATACTTTGTAGGTGCTTTGTAGTCATAAATAATTTTATTTTGTGTGCTATTAACATGACGTCTCGTATTTTTCAGGGTCGGGAAAAGTATTATACGTTATCTTTATATGGTTTATAATAAATACCTAGGTACCAATAACTCAACGTAATATAAAAAGTGAGTGTCAAGCTATTTTCGACCATCGGCCCTATTGCTACAGCGTAAGATCCACTGTGCTAACATTCACCAAACATCATTATATACTTATTATAGTATATACTTATTATTCCGAAATAGTAAGTATATACTATTTCGGAATAAGAAATACCCAAAGTAATTAATGCCCAGGGTATTAAAGTATAATTTAATTATAGCATATTTCATTGTAACCTTGTTGGCTAAATGGTCGCAAGTGCGACTACCGGGTAAGGGGTCTCGGGTTCGATTCCCGAGTCGGGCAAAGAAATGCTGGGTTTTTAAAAAAATCTCAGTAGTAGCACGGAGTCTGGAATTGTGCCCGGTATATGGCAATAGGGTCACCCCCTATTACATGGGACTCATAACATAAATAGTGAAAAGTGGGTGTTACATTGTACAGTGGCATAATGTGCTCTTCTGCCTACCCCTTCGGGGATAAAAGGCGTGATGGTATGTTATGTTCATTGTAATCCGACTAAATAGTTTTTACGTAATGCGTGAACTTACAGGCAGACAAAATTCTTTTTAATCACATTTTTGGGTTCTGTATCTATCTAGTAACACCAGCTAGTTTCATTATATGGACCTATGAAGCGATGTGAAGGCGCCTGTACCCTTTCAGGGGACAAAAGGCGTGATGGCATTTATACTAGGATTTCGAAACTTGGCAAAATAACTTGCAACAGCCATTTTGTTTGAAACTCATCTAAATGCTAATGGAAAGAGCGTCTGCGATGTTACCAACGAGTTAATTGATTCTGTACGTCTATGTTTCGAATTTTCGATACACTTCAATGGGACGGTACTATTGCAAATAAATGCAATTTTATTGTTATTTATACTGAGTAGGTAACTATTATTTGTTTTTAACACAGAACATATAAGTTTTTAACATGTTTGAATGAAGAAAGAAGAAAGTACCTACCTCTTGGAATAACCAATTAAATATTTACTAATCACTACATATTATGTCAAAAATTAATCTTATACTATCATATAAAGCGGAAGAGTTTGTTTTTTTGTTTGTTTGTTTGAACGCTCTAATCTCCGTAACTACAAGTCTGATTTGAATAATTCTTTTTGTGTTGGATAGCCCATTTATCGAGGATGGCTATAGGCTATAAAACATCACGCTATGACCAATAGGAGCTGAGCAGAGCGTGTGAAACCGCGCGGAAGTAGCTACTTGTAAATAAATTAAAAAACGCTTCGACAGTACATTACAGATAATACAGAATAACCGTTATGCGAATGAGTTAAAACCAGGCTAATTTAGACGCTCGCTAAACTGATTTGTTATTCTTATTTTTGACTTTTTGTACTCAAACACTCTATGTGATGTGAACTCGTTGTGTATTCTAATTACTAATTTACTATTACAAAATGTTATATGTTCTTCGATGTTAATATATGGTAGAATCACACCTTTCATTCTTGAAAGAGTAGGCAGAGCATTTATAATGTAGCAACGACTTTTCACCGGTCACCTTATGTTATGATGAGGCCCATGTAACAGTAGATAAGCCTAACGCCATTATAATTATTATAGATACTATAATAACTATCCACAGCCCATACGTGGCCACTGCTGACCAAAGACCTCTTCGCAAGGAGAAGGTTTGAGTATTAATTACGTTTCCTCTCGATGTAAATTTGTAATAATATTTATTTATTTATTTATTTAAGCTTCATGCACAAAATGTACATAAGGTGGACTTAATGCCGCAGGCATTTTCTGCCAGTATAATACCTACTTATTAGAAAATACACATAACTTAGAAAGTCACATTGGTAGGTACTTTGCCGTTGGTAGGTTCCGAACCGAAGCATGAGAAGCGGGCGTCAAACGCCACCGCGACATTGATATAGGTACCTACAGGGCACAATTTCGGTCCATAATGAGTGCCCTTATTGTACCTCACCCAAATCAAGTAAGTACCAATGGAGCATGAATTACGGAATTACGCAAATGTTAAACGAGTTCAAGTGAGTTTACACGGTAACTTCGTTAGCAAGGAAATAGTTTTAATTGTAGGTACCTACATCAATTAGAGAAATATTTTGAACGAATCGTTTCAACGTAAGAAATACGTGTTACAATCGATATCGGAACCGATATTAACTATTTGCCTCTAAATTGTGTAATAGAGTGAATAGGTTCGGTTTGACCACGTCATTGTTATTTTTCGAGACTAATGTAGACTGCTGGGTTTGTTTATTATTCGAATTTTTATAAGAGTTATAAAATTTATATCGAAACAGTTGAGAGGTCCTAGGTACTTAATTTTACCTAATGACTTTGTGGACAAGCACGGACCTGCGGATAGCGAACATGGGTCGCTCGCCGCCCAACCAGAACCAGACCCGAACCTCAAAGAGCCATCAGACCACCACGGATGGAACCAATAGAGCAATCGATACGGAGCCGCGGAGAACGTAAAATGTTACCGGGCTCCTGCTCGAAGTGCAGGAGTGCTTTTTACTCAGTAAGAGTCTGACACTACCTTCCGCCTCACCCAGACGAGAGAAGCCATTCGATGATATGTCCCCCCTTAAAAAAATGATTTTGTGGACCAATAGCACTAGCGTACCTACACACTTTACCAACTTCTCAAAGTTACTTGCTATGGTTGCTGATGTCTTTCGAAATATATATTTCAAATCGTAGGTACATAATCGTTTTAATTTAATATACTACACCTAGGTAGATTAAGTATTTTAATCAAAGATTTTTATACAATATGCTAAAGTCAGAAGTTCCCACCTTAAAAAAACAATATATATAGTCCATCTTTACGACACTAATGACCAATTAGTAAATGCCGTTACAATAAAATGAAGTATAAAACAAGGCGCACACGAAACGAACACCGCGAGAAAGAAAAAATGAATAAACTAACAAATATCTTTGCATCAATTTTGTTTGTACTGTTCTCATTCGCGTTCTATTTGACAATTTCCTTTACACCACTTACAAAGGACGAGCAGATGGAGCGCTACAACAAGATGACAGAGAACGTAGAACCATTTAGGAAGAACTTGACTGAATGTGCGCGTCAGGTCAAAGCTTCGATGGCGGACGTCGAGAACTTTATGAAACGTATCCCACAGGCGTCCTTGCAAGGGAAATGTTTCGTCGCCTGTATTCTCAAACGAAACTCAATAATAAAGAACAACAAAATTAGCAAAGAACATTTATTAGAAGCTAATAGAGCTGTTTATGGCGAGGATAGTGAGGTGATGGCTCGTTTAAAAACTGCTGTAAGCGAGTGCACGAAGGCAGTCGAAGGAATATTTGAAGTTTGTGAATACGCGTCAGTTTTCAACGATTGTATGCACATTAAAATGGAACATATCCTGGACCAGGTGACGATGGAGCGGCGTATGGAAGCGATAGGAAAGATGACGTCAAACCCCGACCAATGGACCGAAGAAGAAGATGAGATCTTGAAGTTGGTCAAAGATGAATTATAGACTTTTGTTCATTGTGTTATAATGTAAGTTTAAGTAGAGGGATGGGTTACTATCAAAACTTTTTTCAGATGATCACTTCGTTCATTTAAAATCAAGAGATACAACATATGAATGGTCACTGTATACTATTTAATAGGTACCGTAAAACGGGGTGAATAGATACAGGAATGGGGTGAATAAATTTTAGAATATTTTCCCAACATTTATTCACCCCTCTCTGTATCTATTCACCCCGTTTTACCATACTACAATATGTAGCCATCATCTGATCATCATATTCTATGTTTATTTCATAGTTTTCAAGTTAGATTAATATATTACCTACATATTAAAGTTACCAAGTTGATTGTTACTTCATTTCATTAAAACCACCTTCATCACTACATAGTAAAAAACAAAGTCGCTATCCGCCGTCTGTCTGTCTTTATGTACGCTCAGTACGCTTAGATCTTTAAACAGATGCAGATTTTTTATTAGATGGAGTGATTCTTAAGGAAGGTTCATATGTAAAATACATGCATATTGCACCCGTGCTAATCCGGGGCGGGTCGCTAGTAGGTTATAAAGCCATATATAAATAAAACAAAACATATTACGAAGAAATTTTAATTCTTTTCGAAATCACCTAACAATAACTTCGATATGATTCACTTAAAATTTACAGTAGAAGCGCACAATACAAAACAAATTGGACACACACTTGCTCCACTTTTGTTCATAATCACATGGTGGGTACAATATCTTAGGGCGACAAAATCCCATGTTCAAAAAAAAAGGGTTAAAACCTATTTCCTTGTTACAGATTAAAAAAAATCTGAACCAAAGTATTCTAGTAGAGCAGTAACCACATTTTTTTTTATTTTTAAGAACTTAGTTCAAAATTAACTGCAGACCGCCAGGGTCGAACAGCTTAACATTAATAAAAAAAGGAGCATTCATAAACTTCGTTGTAAAAGGTTACTTAGCATCTATACATACAAATTACAAAATAAAATAAATAGGTTTAAAAAAATCAGTCGACGTTTCTAATTCTTGAGGAAGCTTTTGCATATTCAAGTATAATTTATATTACGACATTACCCACTGGCAACTTGTTCATACAAAAGTAGTCTCTAAACATTGGAAAGAAGGTATATAATATATAATGGAGTGAGTGAGAGAGGACACCGATGTTCTCTCAGGGATTTAGAGATAAGGCTAGCAATCGAACACAGATTATAGGAGGCATGCCTTCTAAGGTAAGACAAAAGGTAAAATACCTCACAGTAAAATATTTAAGGGTGACTGAGTTATGATTGGCACTGACCCAGCTATAGTCAACTACATTATCATTGAATAGTGAACAATGTATTATCAACCTACATGAAGTACCTAATAGTAGTATGGAAGTCGCTGATCTGGAAGCCTTTGGAAGAATCTTATGTTCAGCAATTTCACTGCACGGTTGAAGCGGTGGCTGAGCAACCGGCTGCCGCGCGACGTGTAGCGGCTTCGATTCCCGCACGGAGCAACTCTTTGTGTGATCCACAAATTGTTGTTTCGAGTCTAGGTGTCATGTGATATTGTGTTTGTAAACGACACTTGGCATGGGGCAACTTTATTATGAAAAAAGAAAAAGTTTCAAACAGACATCTTGTGGCCATGACAATGAGACCAGACATATTTTAAATTTTCGTAATTATGTGTTAATTAGGTAATCCACTGTCGTAACATAAATTACTACTGAACATTTTTTTACTAAATCAACAATTTCTTCCTCAAATAAGTTCGCCTAAACTAAAAGGCTAAAATAACTGTTTCATGCACTCTTTTACACAAGTAGATAGAAGACATCGAATGTACATTTTTTCCTAAATTATCTAATACTAGCACTAAACCCGTTAGTGGGCTGTTGAGCTGTTGTTCCGTACATAAAATAACACCATTTTACAAGTGGACTGATGCTAAAAATCATTACAAAAAAAAAAACCACATGTATTAAAATTTTAAAAAGTCAAAAAGCTACTGTTAACTTAAATATTCATCAGACATTTTCCACATATTTCCGTCTACATGAATAAATTTCTAATAGACTAAATATATTATATTGTTGGGTCAAAAATTATCTAGCTACGTCTCGATAAAATTTGTAGTGATGACAATTAATATTATAGTTTCAATCGATAACACCGAATATCGTAAAAATTTCGAACAAATATATATTCAGTGAAAATTTCATTTTAATAGTTAAATACACATCAGACCACAAAAATGGGTGCAACAATGAACATTTCTAAATATATACCTTACAAATTATCAAAAACAAGTGATCCATATGAAAATTGTTAAATACAATTACTTTATTACCAGATGATACCTATTAAAATTACATTCTAAAAACTAAGGTATCATACAGTCTTAATTTCATCAAAATTCTATTTAAAACCCAAAAACGTTATGTTAAAACATTCTTTTATATAAATTAGTATTCACTATTATACATAAATAGTTTAATCAACCATTTCATCAGCTAAAATATTATATATAACTTCAGTATTTTGAAGTCATGTCTTGACTCAATATCATAAGTAAAACGAGGATACAAGAAAACAATAATATGGCAGTGTCCTACAACTAAAAATAATATAATATTGTTAAAAAATAGTAAGCGTATATTGAATTCTAACAATTAATTGTAAAATTATATTATTATTTAATGTAAGATACAAATAATTATTTTATTTCATATAAGTAGATTAAGCTCAAAATATTAAAAATATCGTCTGTTTTGCAAGTAGGTATATTGGTAAGTATCACTATATCAACACTTCGTTCAAAATTATTATGGCTAATTGAATTATTTTTTGTAAAACTATTCGATGCAGGTTACATGCACGCGAGAGTATTTAGAACTAACGGTGTTTTGTAATCAGAGACATTAGAAAACGAAAAAAGATTAATTGATGTTTTTGTATTAAAAATTTATCTTACTAATGTTTTAAATCCAAAATCCGAGATAACGGATCTCACATATTATGTGTCTGTTTGTTAAAACATAATGATGACGATTAAACTAGAGTCTTTGTGGCTCGTTTTTCTCCATGCCATCTTTGGAACGCGCAAATAACTTCAATATGGGACCAATGAGTATTTTTGCCTTTAACTGTCAAAAAACGACTCAATTTTAAAGATCAATCTTGTAAAAGGATCAGCTTGACCTAGTCTTTTCTGTCAAACTTTATTAGATATTCAACTTTATCGTTTCGAAATAAAGTCGAAAATTAAATGAAAAGAGTAAATAACAAATTGACATGCTGGCTAAACATAACTTTATAAAATATTCACGTCAATATAATGTCTCTAATTACCAAACCACCTTTATTTCTCTAATATCAGCTATACATACTTGACAAATTAAGATCAAAACAAAATATACACGCCACACCAAGTAGCCTTTATCATCGACTTTACTTTAATACTACAAAAATACTTCATTTTTAATGGACACTTTTATTTGGCCCACATTGTTATATTAAAAAATAACATTCTCCAAATAAGTCAGGAAGAATATTTACAGAGAAATTAGCAGTAACGGTCAGTCAAGTCAATATGGATTTTTGGATATTTTTGTTTGTTTGTAAAAGGAATCTAAATATTGTATAACAGTTCATATAATGAGTATTGAGATAATTTCTCTTTTTATATAATTTTTGAGTTTTATAAAACATGTCTAAATCAACACTAGGTATTTGAGAAATGACTATGGAATTTGTGACGATCGTATTTCATTTCATGTAAGTCTTTGAAAAATCAATGATTATTATTTATCACACATAAAAAAGTATTTTGTCATTCAAATTTTAAATTGCAACATGATTGGATATTAACTAAAAACCGCGGGTTACTCACGTGAATATACTGAGAAAAGCTCTACTAGTTTCGAACCGCAGAGGGGTTCTTTCTCATGAGCAGCCTGCGGGGTCGCGAGGTCGCGGTCGAGTAATTCGCGATTTTAAGTTAATTTAGTATGACTCACGATAGTTATTATAAAAACATGATTGGATATTTCCATAAAAAAGTCATTAAAACAATTATTAGGTATTGGAAACCTGAAAACGCGCTATTGCATTATGGCTGGTTATTTCAGCAATAAATTAATAATCAGTTTTAAGCTCACTCAGTGAAACTGACTTCAACAATAGACCTTACTGCTAACGAAATAAAAAACTTTCACTGATAGGTATAATGTGAAACTACGTTTTACTTTCCTTATAAAAGAAGCTATGGACATTGGGCCGCACATTAGAATGTTCCCGTCACAATTATGTACTAGAATAAAGTCCCGAACCTCGAAGGTGTAGGCCTTTGTCATTCAGGCGGGCAGCTCTGTACGAAGGACGCAGGGAACAGGCCAGTGCGACCGGTTCGCTGCAGCGTACCTTTGTACCAACCGTCTCCTCTCTTTTTCGACACAATCACTATATCATCCACTTTTAGTTCTAACTCGTATTCCGAGTTAGGTGGATACGGGACTATGCAGCGAAATCTGTGAAAATAAGAATAAAATAATAAAAATCTTGGCATTTCATTTATCAGTTATCACTATGTAGCTGGTCGTATAATGGTATTTTTTTAAATATATGGCAGGTACATACATATTTACACCACTGTGGTGACTTAAAATGGGGAGAACGTCTTTGCAAGTTTTTGATGAAAATGAATATGATGAATATATGAGATTTTACTGAAACAGTGAAAAATTGTAGTCATTATTATTACTTAAAAATGTCGTACGTGTTGGCCAATTTCGATTCCAAAAGTTCTATTTAGTTTTTACTGCGTAACTTTTTCCTTTATTATTCCAAGAGCGGTCATAACGAAGTCTTACACATGGTCAAATGATGTCGTTGAGTTTTGGGACACTTGTATATAGACAGATTATTTTAAGCAATGTTTTATTTACCTTTCTTTATTCGGTTGCGAGTGGTGTCTGTCTCGCCTCGAAGCCGTCACGTCTAATGATTGCGACTTTCTATGTTGTGACTGCCACGGGTTATCTGTACCGGTTCTGTAATTAATTAATTTATTATTAAATAATTATATATACAGATAATATATTTAGTTAACACGTTCACCGCCGCGTAGGTCACCGGTGACCTACGTTAGCGGAGGATTTGCCTTCAGCAGTTTTCTGTCAGCAGTCAAAGGCTTAAATGATCGCAATAGTATGTATTGTAAATAAGTTAGGGTGTTGCTGGTTTTAAACGACATCGATTTTGTACCGATTGTTTTTTAGAGAAGTAGTGCACTTTGGTTTTAGGAATGATATGACAGGCAATCATGAGTGAGTTTCGGCAGTTTTAAGTAATCGATGGTTGGTTCATTGGAGCCGGCCAATCAGAGCGCCGAACGCGGTCTCGTTTCTATTATTATAAATATAAAATAAATCGTATTAAGCCTTCTAATAGGGTATTTTCCTGGGTCAAAAATAAATTATTTAGATATTTCAATCCAATTAAATATTAAAAAATAATTACAATTTCATACATATATTAGACGATATACTTAATTTTCGATTTATTCTAGTAAGATTTATGCTATTTGACTCGAAAATATGATGACGTCATAAGTTAATTTTTCGTACAAAGTTCATAGAACAATATCGTTTTTGACGTTTCGATAAAAGTATTGAATTTGACTAGTTGTAAAATACCGTATTGTGAGTAAAGTACTTATGTCTATTACTAATTACGGTTGCTTGTCTAATGACAAATAAACTGAATCGATTCCTACAAATTATCTTTATCATGTATAAGAAAACCAACAGTAAGAAACTCTATTACCTAAAGAACAAAGGACGCGTTAGTAGATTGCAACACCACAAACATTAAATTAATAATAATAATCATAAAAAGAGTATGAAAGCAAAACAGGAATCAGCCCATGCTCATAAATACAACATGTTTTTATGATAGACACAGAAGGGACCTTCGACACTCACATTTAACATAAGCGTGTGTTGTATGTGTTGTGTGTGTAGATACAACCTGTGCAGATGGTGGTGATGTTCGTGCAGGGGCGCCGGTGTGGGCCGCTCCTTGTGTGTGCGTGTGTGAGGTGTGAGGGATGTGTGTGTGTGTGTTTGCATACAACCTGTGCAGATGGTGGTGATGTTCGTGCAGGGGCGCCGGTGTGGGCCGCTCCTTGTGTGTGCGTGTGTGAGGGATGTGTGTGTGTTGGCATACAACCTGTGCAGATGGTGGTGATGTTCGTGCAGGGGCGCCGGTGTGGGCCGCTCCTTGTGTGTGCGTGTGTGAGGGATGTGTGTGTGTTGGCATACAACCTGTGCAGATGGTGGTGATGTTCGTGCAGGGGCGCCGGTGTGGGCCGCTCCTTGTGTGTGCGTGTGTGAGGGATGTGTGTGTGTTGGCATACAACCTGTGCAGATGGTGGTGATGTTCGTGCAGGGGCGCCGGTGTGGGCCGCTCCTTGTGTGTGCGTGTGTGAGGGATGTGTGTGTGTTGGCATACAACCTGTGCAGATGGTGGTGATGTTCGTGCAGGGGCGCCGGTGTGGGCCGCTCCTTGTGTGTGCGTGTGTGAGGGATGTGTGTGTGTTGGCATACAACCTGTGCAGATGGTGGTGATGTTCGTGCAGGGGCGCCGGTGTGGGCCGCTCCTTGTGTGTGCGTGTGTGAGGGATGTGTGTGTGTTGGCATACAACCTGTGCAGATGGTGGTGATGTTCGTGCAGGGGCGCCGGTGTGGGCCGCTCCTTGTGTGTGCGTGTGTGAGGGATGTGTGTGTGTTGGCATACAACCTGTGCAGATGGTGGTGATGTTCGTGCAGGGGCGCCGGTGTGGGCCGCTCCTTGTGTGTGCGTGTGTGAGGGATGTGTGTGTGTTGGCATACAACCTGTGCAGATGGTGGTGATGTTCGTGCAGGGGCGCCGGTGTGGGCCGCTCCTTGTGTGTGCGTGTGTGAGGGATGTGTGTGTGTTGGCATACAACCTGTGCAGATGGTGGTGATGTTCGTGCAGGGGCGCCGGTGTGGGCCGCTCCTTGTGTGTGCGTGTGTGAGGGATGTGTGTGTGTTGGCATACAACCTGTGCAGATGGTGGTGATGTTCGTGCAGGGGCGCCGGTGTGGGCCGCTCCTTGTGTGTGCGTGTGTGAGGGATGTGTGTGTGTTGGCATACAACCTGTGCAGATGGTGGTGATGTTCGTGCAGGGGCGCCGGTGTGGGCCGCTCCTTGTGTGTGCGTGTGTGAGGGATGTGTGTGTGTTGGCATACAACCTGTGCAGATGGTGGTGATGTTCGTGCAGGGGCGCCGGTGTGGGCCGCTCCTTGTGTGTGCGTGTGTGAGGGATGTGTGTGTGTTGGCATACAACCTGTGCAGATGGTGGTGATGTTCGTGCAGGGGCGCCGGTGTGGGCCGCTCCTTGTGTGTGCGTGTGTGAGGGATGTGTGTGTGTTGGCATACAACCTGTGCAGATGGTGGTGATGTTCGTGCAGGGGCGCCGGTGTGGGCCGCTCCTTGTGTGTGCGTGTGTGAGGGATGTGTGTGTGTTGGCATACAACCTGTGCAGATGGTGGTGATGTTCGTGCAGGGGCGCCGGTGTGGGCCGCTCCTTGTGTGTGCGTGTGTGAGGGATGTGTGTGTGTTGGCATACAACCTGTGCAGATGGTGGTGATGTTCGTGCAGGGGCGCCGGTGTGGGCCGCTCCTTGTGTGTGCGTGTGTGAGGGATGTGTGTGTGTTGGCATACAACCTGTGCAGATGGTGGTGATGTTCGTGCAGGGGCGCCGGTGTGGGCCGCTCCTTGTGTGTGCGTGTGTGAGGGATGTGTGTGTGTTGGCATACAACCTGTGCAGATGGTGGTGATGTTCGTGCAGGGGCGCCGGTGTGGGCCGCTCCTTGTGTGTGCGTGTGTGAGGGATGTGTGTGTGTTGGCATACAACCTGTGCAGATGGTGGTGATGTTCGTGCAGGGGCGCCGGTGTGGGCCGCTCCTTGTGTGTGCGTGTGTGAGGGATGTGTGTGTGTTGGCATACAACCTGTGCAGATGGTGGTGATGTTCGTGCAGGGGCGCCGGTGTGGGCCGCTCCTTGTGTGTGCGTGTGTGAGGGATGTGTGTGTGTTGGCATACAACCTGTGCAGATGGTGGTGATGTTCGTGCAGGGGCGCCGGTGTGGGCCGCTCCTTGTGTGTACGTGTGGCCGGCGGCAGCGCTCGCAGCAGTTGCGAGGGGCATGAGCCCGACCTGTACCCACACCGTTAGTACGCTACGTGCCAATGTCAAATATATCTAGATAATATTATTTCAATTCAAAATAAAAAAAATAATTTTAGCCAAAAGATGTAATAAATGAACCTAACCAAAATCATAAATATGTTAAGTCGAATGCACTTATTATGTAAAATCTGTAAGATTATTTGCGTATTCGACATCTTTTTTTAATAAATTAATATAAGAACAATAATATAATATTCGACATTGGTCCGCAGCAAGGAACACACGTGGAACACAAATGCAGTGACAATGAGTGCTGTTAGGACAAATTACATTCAAGCACACACAATTTGTCTGATCACAAACATGGTATTGTCAAATACTCAAACGAGAAACATATTTGAGAAAATACTTTATTGTAAATTATTATAATGGCACAAAAACATGAAACAAATGCAACGCATGACGCGATGCCATAATAAAATGTATGAATGTTTAAACACGGAACCACTCCCAACTCTCCCATAGATCCGGCCCTGTCATCAGCGTCTGGCGCCCTTCACTTCGCGCCCCAGTGACACAGGGTCGTATTTGGTATTCCGTTTGCAATACTATGTATGTTTTAATAATATGGAAATTTATCCAACAAACTTTATGTAAAGTAAATAATATCTAAGTACGAATATAAAAGTGTTTGAGTATTTGAGTTTAAATCACATAAATAAATTTAACGATGCACATATACAAAGGATAGGTTTAACAGATTTCAGATATTTTACAAGATAATGCTTTGTTATAACGAGTTGACATTCACACAATACTCACTTTTCTCAAGATGCAATAATAATAAAAATCATCACTTGTATCAGTATTTGATTAAATTCTAAAAGGCTATTGTTTATTGTTAAACCCTTTGTCCCTTCGAACTAAATGTGTGATTACGATACAAAAGTAAGGTAGCACGTCGGCGATGCACGCATGAGTCCCGGCGTGGCTTGAAATGAATCGAGCTTCCTTGAAAACTTTACGTCAGACGTATTTTTAACTAACCGATTTAAAATTATATTGCAAATCTTTTTGAGTAATCAGATTGTAGTAGATTAACATCATTAGGTTTATAGAATCAAATAGCTTAAGGTCACTGACCTCACATGTACAGGGTGATGTTGTGAGTTGGTGTTTAGCATCAATGACGTGCCGGGTCCATCTTCGAACACTGGATTATCCATACTGTACCCAGTGGGAGGCGGCGACTTGCATTTCTTCATAGCAGCCAAACGCTTCATCAAACTTACGCCCGTTGATATTGAAGATTTCTCTGCTTTCGATTTTTCTTTCGGCTGTTTAGGACAAAATAATGAAGTATTTTATTTTGTTATTATCACTAATACTGACTTTCACGTTAGTCTAGTTTAAGGTATGGTTACCGGGGTAAACAAGTTTTTTTATGGGGTAAAGGAGCCAGAGGGTTGGTAAGCAATCGGCGTCGCCCATGGACACCTGGAACACCAGAGGCGTTACCGGCCTTTTGGATTTAGGAATTTTAGGATTGTTGGGGATTCAGGGATTGGGGAATGAGGGGGGAGGTGGGGTTAATTGGGTCTCCGGTAACCTCACTCACAGTCGATCGGGTCGGTCGAAGTCGGTCTTCTGTGAGGCCGTGTCTTCTTTTCAAGTGTTTTCTTAATACACATATAGGTATGTAACAATAATAATATATGTAAGTTCAAGAACGTTGAAGTAGTACTTTTCAGCCAATCGAAAACGTGATATCATACAGGGTGTAAATGGAACAAAATAAATTTATTGATTTAAATTTTAATCGTTTTTATGTATTTGTTTTCATTTTTTTTTCATGCAACATCAGCCTTGAGCAGTTGATTATAACTATTATTACATACAAGAAACCATTAATTCCTTAATTTTATGAAAATAAAACTTGTTTTTTACCACCTCGTTGGCCGAGTGATTGCAAGTGCGACTGCCCGGCAAGGGGTCTCGGGTTCGATTCCCGGGTCGGGCAAAGTATTACTGAGTGTTTAAAAAAATATCAGTGGTAGCACGGAGTCTGGAATTGTGCAGTATATGGCAATAGGCTCACCCTCTATTACATGGGACTCATAACATAAAATACTGAAAAGTGGGTGTTACATGGTACTGTGCACCATTGCCTACCCCTTCGGGGAAAAAAAGCATGATGTTATTTTTAACCATCACCTGTCTGGGCTTGTCGGGAGTGAACCGTTTACACGCTGTATTACGATTTCAATTTGGACTTAAGAATAAACGCTATACTTACTTAATTTGGAACTTAAGGTAACTATATTATTAACTTAGGATTTACTTGATACCTTGATTATAACTTTACAGTAAATTGAGTAACTAACTGACCTTTTCAGATCTTGGCGTGCTTTGCTGTGATTGGGCAGGAGAACACCATGGGTACGTCAATGGTTGAGCTGTAACATTTTAAATGTAAATTATTATTTGTCTGACTGCCTCATTAGCCGAGTGGTCGCAAGTGCGACTGCCGGGCAAGGGGTCTCGGGTTCCATTCCCGGATCGGGCAAAGTATTACTGGGTTTTACATAAAATTCACAGTAGTAGCACGGAGTCTGGAATTGTGCCCGGTATATGGCAATAGGCTCACCCCCTATTACAAGGGACTCATAACATAAATAGTGAAAAGTGGGTGTTACATTGTACAGTGGCATAATGTACACCTCTGCCTATCCCTTCGGGGATAAAACGCCTTTTATGTTAATGTATGTTATTATTATTTGTGTTGTAACAAGTCGCAATGACAATAACTCGTGTAGTGTAATAAATTAATGACTTGGATCAAGGATGTTGAAAAAAAGGTGGACATAATCACCCGAATACTGAAAGCTTACTCAATATTAAATTGAACTTAAACATCGTGCTATCTCTTTTATTTTACATATAATTAGAAGTGATAGAACTATACTTAAGCGCGTCTTAAAATATGGTAGTTGACCAGGAGCCTGAGCACGAGTATGTTTTACGTTTAAAGTAATCGTAACGAGTACGCGTTCGGTACTCTGATTGGCCGGCACCAATGAAGCAACCAATCAGAGCGTCGAACGCGTACTCGTTTCGAATACTCGTACTAAGGCCTCAGTAATCAAATTCAATACTTTTATTGAAATGTCCAAAACAATACTTTTCTATGAATTTTGTATTGGTTCGCAACTTATGACGTCATCATATTTCTGCGTCAAATAGCATACATTTCTGCGTCAAATTCCTTGAAATTTGCGAGAAAAAATCCAAAAGTAAATTGTCAAATCAATGGATGAGAGTATGATTATTTTTTAACTATTTATTGCATTGCAAAGTTGAAACAATTTATTTTAAACCTTATAAACTAGCCAATTGAGTGGTATTTAAGTATTTAGACATAAGTCACTTACGAAATGATTTAAGCACCAAAATATCAGTGGAATATTTGTGTGCGTGTGTAATGGGTTACCATGTTACCAGACCTTAAGAAAATACCGGATGTCCTTCATGTCAATGTGTGTATGTTCTGTGTGTAAGTCTATAGTAGCGAGGTGCCATTGTCGTTGTTTCAAGAGACCTTTTTTTCTATGTTACTTTTTTCATAAAAATAGGAATGACTTATGAATTAAGTGTGGGAGAGCCATGCTTCGGCACGAATGGGTCGGCTCGACCGGAGTGATACCTCGGCCTCATAGAATACCGACGAGAAACAACGCTCTCGTTGTGTTTCGTCGTGTGAATGACACCGGTTATGGTTACCGGAGGCCCAATTACCCTCCCCTTCCCTAATCTCCCCAATCCCTGAATCCCCAACGATCCTCAAACTCCTAATCCCCAAAAGGCCGGTAACGCACTTGTAACGCCTCTGGTGTTCCAGGTGTCCACGGGCGACGCCGATTGCTTACCATCAGGTAATCAGTCTGCTCGTTTACCGGCTTGTTGCATAAAAAAAAGAATTACAAGGTTAAATTGTAAGACACACATATTTTTCTAAACTGAACAAAAACTTGATTTTCATTCCCACTTCTTAAAAATAATTGATGCAATGGTTTATACAGACAATATTACATTAGTAGAAGTATTTTTATATAATGTGTCGACGTTTGACCAGTATCACACCTGGTAGTAAGGGACGACACAAGTAAACATACCCATGAGCAGCGCGGGGTCTCTGGCGCGGGGCGGTGCGTCGGGGGCCGAGCCACTGGGGGCCTGGGGGCCTGCACTCGGGGGGCCCGTACTAGGGGGGCCTGCACTCGGAGGGCCTGTACTCGTGGGGCCCACCGTGCTGGGCGGCGGGGCGCTCTGCGACTGGACGACAATACACGCTCATTATTCCACGAGACATAATAATAAACTATGTACTGTGATGTATACCAGTGGCGTTATTCTATTTAATTCATTATAAAAATCGTGGTGGCCCAGAAGGTTCGAGACCTGACAAGTACCAATGTAACATTTTACAAGTTATTCATAGACTTTCTAAAATTTCGTAGATAAGTTTGAAATCACCAATCCGCTTTGAGCCAGTGCGGTGACTAATGCTAATATGAGTGAAAAAAGAAAAGGCCTTTTATGAGCAGTAGTACAATCGGAAGCTGATAAAATTAATAAATAATAAGAATTTACTACAATTTACATTTTATTGATACGACGAACGATCAGTTACCTTGTCGTGTTTAGTACGCAGATTGGAGGCGGGCGCGACGTAGTTCCCCGGGAAGACGCCGCAGCGCTGCGATCGTTCTGAGCAACCTTTGTACCAACCGTCGCGGCACCGCTCCGTCACCGTGTAGATACCTGACGCGAAAATATAACTAATGCATTAATATAGTCGATAGACATGGTTGTCCATTGATGCGAAAATTAGTGCAGCGGACGAGATTTTAACTTTATTATTATTATTAAATTCACCTATTGTGCTAAGTGCATGAAACTTATGTCCAATTTCTCAAACATCATTCAATTTGAACTTGTGCTCTGTCACTATTAATTCTTAGTTAAATGACAGAGATCGCACGATATTTAAGTACGAACTGAGTAGCCTTTCAGTATTTGGGCGTAAATAAATAAATAACTAATGTGTAATATTAGTATTACCTCCTTTCTTAAGCTCGAGTTCGTCGGGTTTCTGTGGTTTGTAGGGGTAGATGGCGACGTAGGCGGCGGGCAGCGGGCGCTCGTTGCTGCGCGACCGGCGCCGGCGTCGCTCGCTGCGCGCCTCGGGGCCCGCGTCCAGCAAACTGGTCGCTAGGATCTCTGCAGAGTGCCTGCACCAGTATTTACGAATTATCAGACAAGTGGTATATACATATTCTGGTAAGTGATTACTTTATTTACATGATCGTTCTTTGTTTTTCTCAACCAAGGAAGTGTAGGTAAAGAGCACTCACCTGTTTTGAGTATTATGATTTCCCTGTAAATGTGTAGACGGCGTCAAACTGTGCCTCTTCTCCCTTTCTTTATGGTGATGATCTCTATGCGGTCTGGTTACCATATAATTCCCATCTTTCCCGTGAGAGGGCGACAGAGCCGCTTGTAGTCCTAATCCAAAATTCAAAAAAGCTTCTACATTATTTCTCAACGGGTTTTTACTAGACGAAGGCACGTCAAGTCTTGAAGAATCATTATTGAGTGCACTTTCCTGATTATCTTCTTGTGTTTGAGAGGCATTACTCGTACCAGACGCATTCAATTTTGGACTCTCTGACGGTGGCAAGCTGACATTCAAAGACGTGTTTGTAGCTGTTGAACTTTCATTCAAACTCAACACTCCCATAGAAGTATTAAGAGACTCGTCGTTGTTAGTTTCCTCCTCTGGTATGTTCTGATTTTGGTTTTGAATTTGAGCCGTATTGCCAGCAATGACGGTCGCATTTCGCTCGGTGTTATTGTCGGGGGAACTAGGAAGGCTCGGCTCAGCGCTCTCGCAAGTGCTCGTGTCGGAGCTCGTGTTCGGAGTGGTCGTTGAACTTACTCCGAAAGATGGCGTGTTCATACTCGAACTCGAATCGGAACTAACATTGCTAGTGTTGAAATTGGCTACGGAGACGGGAAAATGTTCGTGTGTCCTTACGTTCTGGTAGGTATTGTCCACTTTGTGTACGGGCGTCGAGTTATAGCTGTCGTATTTGACCGTTCGTAGTCTGTCGTAGTTTTCTCCGATTCGAGAGACACTCTGTATGCCCATGGTTCCTTGGTGGGACTTGTTGTGTACGTTGGTGAACTGTATGAGATCGAGCGAGTGCTTGGTGTGCGCGGGTTCCACGATGTTCCTGGCGTGCGGGGCGAGTGGCTGCGGCAGGAGGCCCTGCGCGTGGTAGCTGGGCTGGGACTGCGACATGGCGCCCACGTTCTGGTAGGCGGCGTGCCCCGCGCCCGGCGCCGACAGGGACATCGCCGGGTAGCGCCCCGGGACTTGCTGGAATACAAACACAGCGTTCAATGGCGCTCATTTCACTTCATTTGTCTTGTTCAATAATAATATGTAGTATGAATCCTACAATTTGTAACAACTTAATTATTATATTTTTGGCTTATTCATGTAATTATTTGACGAGAAACTCGACTAGCTTCAAGCCATGCTAGAGGCTCATATTCATGAGCATGGCTAAGTAAGTATTACGTGAGTTAGCCGAAAATATAATAATTAATTTAGTATGTCTCACGAACATTGTAAAAACTTTTTGCATAACATTCAGAACAAAATTGGTGAAAAGGATACTATAGTTGTATTTAACTCGTCGAGTACCGTCATTATAGACACAATTATAGAATAGTAGGTTGCGGTCACCGGTGAAAGCTTGGTGTTTGACAGTTTAATCAGTTTCTATTGCCAAATAATGATTTGAGAATAGTCATAAAGATGTATGAAGATCTCGTACAATATATTACGTTACCTGTTGTACATGGTGCCTGTGTTCAGAGTGCGAGGGTCGCGCCTGTTCCGGTATGGGCGGCACGGGACGGTTTAGAGGCACACTATAAACAAAAAAACAACAATTTATCGATTGCTTTGTTAAAACAAGTTGCCTCTTTAACCACAAGTCAAAACATTATACGTTTGTACGTTTTCAATTTCCATTTACCGCCACATTGTAATAACAGGCTACTTTCCCAAAATATAAAACGAATGATCTTTTAGGGAACAGAGTATAGTTCCCTAAGATCGGAAAAGGAGGATCCTCCGACCAGGCGAGGTGATCGTGCCTGGCGGGCTTTCTGCCCAACAGTTGTTCGTTGGGATTTTCTCTCCGTGTTAAATCGAATGTAAACTTCGCATGTGCGATGTAGGATTTTATGACGTCATCCGTTGACTTGTAACATGTGTCGCCACAATCTCACGTAACAAAATTCTATTCAATAGTAACAAACATAATTATACAAAAAAGTTGTTTTAATTTGTTTTAAAAAAAAGTATGAACGAATACAGATAAAGTTCGAACCTGTTCATAAGCTGCCTGGCTGCCTGGTTGAGTTCCACGAACGCGATGGGAAAGATACCAACACGTTGGTCGAGTCTGCCTTCCGCCCAGTTGTCGTCCACACGACGGTGCACGGTTATTATCGCCCCTATAACATTTAAAATTAAAACCATCTTAGAAATAGATAACGGATAAACAAAATCCTACTATATTGATTTATAATTATAGTTGATTTTGATTATGATGTGAGAGAGCCATGCTTCGACCGGAGTGATACCACGGCCTCACAGAAAACCGACGTGAAAAAAACGCGTGCGTTGTTTGAGTGGGGTTACTGGTGGACACCCAATTCTCTCACCATTCCGAATCCTCATAAGGCCTGCAACACACTTAAATTGTTCTGGTATTACTCTGTCGATTGTTTATCATCAGGTGATCAATCTGCTCATTTACCGGCTTGGCTTATACCACATATATTACCTTTATCAAACAGAAACACGCTTCGAAATGAAAATCCACTCTAATCCATTAGAATTTAAGTTGATTTTTGAGTAGCAAGTTTTATTCTTTAATTTACCTTTATCGAAAGCCAGACAGCCTTCCTCGTCAGGTGCAGACATTCGGAAGTCGTATAATGCTTTGCATAGTGCAGTAGCCACCGGTAGAGGTACCACAACCTGAAAAATTACAAAGTAACTTTTATACATTGTAACTTAGACATAACATAACATCATGCCTTTATCCCCGAAGAGGTAGTCAGAGGCGCATATTACGACACTTAATGCCACTGTACAATGTAACACCCAATTTTCACTATTTATGTTACGAGTTCCATGTAATAGGGGGTGAGCCTATTGCCATATACCGGCCACAAATCCAGACTCCATGCAGTAGCACGGAGTAGTAACTGATATCTTTAAAAAAAACCCAGTAGTACTTTGCCCGACCCGGGAATCGAACCCAAGACCCCTTGCCGCACGAGTCGCTCTTGCGATCAATCGACCAATGAGGCAGTCTGTAACTTTGACTTACATGTTATTATGTTGTAGTACAGCCACTAATAAACAAAGGTCCCCCCTTAAAAGAGATTTTGCTATAATTTGGTAGTTTCCAGGGTATCAAAATTAAAAATGTAATTAGTCCGTCAGTTAGATAATGAAAAAATATTAGATATGTATTTTTTTTATTTTCTCGTATTAAGTTGCAATACTTAGATAAAATGGCGCTAAGTTTAGGAGTCGTTACGTCATAACGTGCTACAAAATGTGGCACACTGTGACGTCACACGATATTTCAAATTAATATATCGTCGAAAATATTTAATTTTGTGAGAAAAGAAAAAATACGTGTCTAAAGTTTTAAATTAATGTATCAGACGGACATTAAAATAGAATTTATGAACCTACCCTATTCCTACGCTCAATAGATGGTTCTAATTGCAGTTTAGTCACTGGTTTAGATGATTCACTGATTTAGCTACTTCATTGTAGTATGTAGGTACTGAATTTTGTATCCTATAATTGTGCTGAAGTTTATCTCTTAGGAAAAAGATAAAAAAATGATACTACTATTCGTCACTCACTCAGTAGCTGTGTACCCATATCAACTACGTAAGTCTTAGTAGTCTTTGTTTTCTAAATAAAAAAATAAGAGTAAAATATAGGTAACTTTACTTACAAATACCATAACTCCATCATTACAAATGAGCATTGTTATACATATATTACATTACATAAAATTAATAATAAATTATTCTTCTATAAACTACATTTAAAAAATTGACTTCAATCCCTATTTTTTATTGAAGTCAGTTAATTAATATACTAAAACCTTATTCTAAATGTAACAAACACTTTTCTAAAAACCCCATCAAAATCGGTTAAGCCAAACGCGAGATAATCGCGAACAAACATATATACATACATTTTTTTTTTTTTTTAAGGGGGGAAAATCATCGAATGACTGCTCCCGCCTGGGTGAGGCGGGAGGGAGTGTCAGACTCTTACTGACTAAAAACCACCCCGTTCCTTCTCCTGCACGTCGAGCCGGAGCCCCGGTTACCCGTTAGGTTCTCCGCGACATACATACATACATAGGTACAGGTCAAACTTCGAACGTCTTTTTTTTTATAGTCGGTTAAAACAGTTTAAAGTTAAACCACATGTCAAACAGTAACTTTCTTTTGCAAGCATGTGGCGTACATATGATTATTAAATGTATTTTTTATAATTATTTTGTTTGTTTGTTTTTATTAAGCAAAGCAAGATGGTCGAAATATAATTTGTAACTGCTAATGATAAGAAATTAAACAACAGCATGAGGCTTTTCTTTCTTAAATATTGTAGCTTTTAACTGAATTTCCTCTTTTATTATGGATGTGTTTACAAACACTATTGTACATACATATGACAACAATTTATGGAACACATAAAAAGTTGTTCTTAATCCTTGTTTTAAACGACATGACGTGACGATCGTAATCAACCAAAAGACGTCTAATTCTGAACAAAGTTCTCTTCTTTATAAAAGGGACCTTTACCTGAACTCCCATGCTGAGCAGATGGTTCGAGAATGGTTGTTGGGTCATCGTTAATGTAGAGGATGCTTTTAAGAAAGACCGGGGTATTTTTTTTTTTAAAGGTGGAAAATCATCGAGAGACTGCTCCTGTCTGGGTGAGATGGGAGGGAGTGTCAGACTCTTACTGACTAAAAACCGCCCCGTTCCTTCTCCTGCTCGTCGAGCCGGAGCCCCGGTTACCCGTTAGGTTCTCCGTGACTCCGAAGACCGGGGTATAGGTGTGATGTGCATGTCAAAATATGTGTTTCTCAACACACCCTTGAAACGATAGAGATTGACGTAACGTATTTTTGTTTGTTTTTTTAGACATTGCCCCACACTAGGACCTCCTGTGTCGTGGGTGCTTTTACAAACATACAAGTTCACATACACATAACACCCAGGCACGGCACACAAAGAATTGTTCCGTGAGGGAATCGAACTCGCGACACGTTACGCGGCAGCCATCGATGCAGTCACAGTCAACCGTGTAGTATTATTTTAATCTCAATCAACTCACCTGCACATATGCCAGTGGGAACATGCCAGTCCTTCCAGAACATTCTCCTTGATACCAGAACGTGTCCAATTTCTTTTGAATGAGTATTGTTTCACCTTTCTTGAACGAGAGGTCCCTGTAAACAAATTAAATAATATTATTATACCGATAAGAAAAAACATTATAATTATCTTCATTTAAATAACTTAATATAATAGGTACACTAAAAATAGATAAACGATGCATTGTGTAGGTACCATCGCAATGACACATGATTTTTATAACAATCCTAGCTTCTGCCAGCGGCTTTGCCCGCTTTCCTGTTAACCTATGTGTTATTCCAAACCATAATATACCTCTGTTCCAAATTCCATCCGATCCCTACCGCCATTTTGACGTGAAGGACTAACGAACAAACAAACATACAAACTTCCGCATTTATAATACATACTAGCTACTTCCGCGCGGTTTCAGACGCTCTGCTCAGTTCCTATTGGTCGTAGCGTGATGTTTTATAGCCTATAGCGATCCTAGATAAATGGGCTATCTAACACAAATTAATTATTCAAATCACAGTAGTAGCACGGAGTCTACTAGTTATTTATTTATTATTATTATTATTTATAAATCAGACTTGTAGTTACGGAGATTAGCGCGTTGAAACAAACAAACAAAAAAACAAACTCTTCCGCTTTATATAATACTAGTACTAGTATAAGATTATATACATATTATAATAGGATACTCAGTAAGTCACATTACATAATGAGACTCAAATACAGATTTGAGTCAACCAAATGATATAGTCGTTATCATAACATCACGGCTTTTATCCCCGAAGGGATAGGCAAAGCTCAATACCACTGTACAATGTAACACACACTTTTCACTATTTATCGTATGAGTTCCATGTAATAGGTGAGTCTGTTGCCATATTCCAGGCACAATTCCAGACTATGTGCTAGTAGTGAGATTAAAAAAATAACCAGTATTACTTTGCCCGACCCAGGAATCGAATCTGAGACCCCTTGCCCGGCAGTCGCACTTGGGACCACTCGGCCAACGAGGTAGTCAATTTTAGTGGCATCTTTAAATAGACAAACTTAAACTCATATTTTGTCTCTAAGGCTAACATAAACTACTAATCGTATATCGGAACACCTGGTGCATCAATCCTTCCATATTTCTTTAGCTTTCATCACATTCATGCATATTATGGTCATACAAATAAATAAAGTAAGCGTCTTGTGTGTATATACCCCACAGTGCACATGTTTAGAATGACGATGTAGCACATTGCTAAGCACACAACGGATAGCCCATGACTCATACCAACATAATGCATCAAAAACGACTGCTAATTGAATATAAGTAGTTCACAGCCGCCGATCACATCAACTTTAGCGTTTATTATTATTATACCAGCAGCAGTTTTTTCTCATTGACTCATGCACTTCTGGTCGCTAACAAATGACTGGCTATTTAGTATTCTAGTAACTAATTGAGTTATTTATTTGCGAGTTAGCCATTGTAGGGTTTGAATGGATCATTGACCATGCGATGTCACTGTAACTTAGTTCTCTAATATGGTAATTATACGGTTGTCATTTATTGCGACTTAGAAAATGCTTTACGACATTGTAACAGGTAAAAATGGTTTTCTCGAGAAGTATCCAAATGGAACACGATACAGAACACGCGATTAGAACCGATTTCGATCCCCAAGTTAAGTAAACTGTCATAGGGCACTCGCAGAGCATGGATAGAGTTTGTAACTTTCAGGTGACTTTAGAAATCGCCTCACCCAAGCCGGGAGAAGTCATTGGATGATTTTGTACCCTTAAAAAAAGTAACTTGTGTTTAAACTGAACCGTAATGGTCTTCCATGGTAATGATATAGGACCAACCTTCTGTAAAACAGAGAACATATGTAGAACTTGGCATGATATGCACGTCTTTATATCAACTTTGTAAAACAGTATTTAGTTAAAAAGTATTGATTTATTGGCATTCACTTTTATCAGAGGGGCCTTCAGACGTCATTCGTGAACTCTGATCACCAGTCAGCGTCACAACAAATTCTTGAACATAAAGTTAACAAATAAATAATTAATAAGTATTTCCTAACTAAGTATAGAAATAAGTCGTGGTGGCCCGGAGGTTTAAGACGCCCACTTCTCATGCATGAGGGTGCGGGTTCGAAACCTACCAACGGCAAGTACCAATGTGACTTTTTCTGAGTTATATGTACTTTCTAAGATTATTTAGACACCACTGACAAACGGTGAAGGAAAAACATCGTGAGGAAACCTGGACTTATAATTTCTAATTATAAGTTTGAAATCACCAACCCGCATTGAGCAAGCGTGGTGATTAACGCTCTAACCTTCTCCGTGTGAGAAGAGGCTTTGCTCAGCAGTGGGCATTTATAGGCTGTTGATGATGATGAACTAAGTAAACATTGTGACTCAATACTAATGAATAAAAATAACAGATTTTGTTACTGATTCACCTTTTTAATAAAAAAAAATAGATTTATTTATTTTAATGTCTGAAGTCTGCGCGGTTGGTGCGGTGGCTGAGCAACCGGCTGCCGTGCAGCGTACCGCGTGTTCGATTCCCGCACGGAACAACACTTTGTGTGTTCCACAAATTGTTGTTGTTACTTCGGGTCTGGGTTTCATGTGTTAAGTGAATTTCTATGTTTGTAAACGCATCCTGAACACAGGCGAAAATCCAAGGTGTTAAAAAAGAAAATTTCGTCCCTTTTACATAAAATTACGCAATTTTATCCCCGAAAAAAGGGTGCACGTATACAATTAAATATCTTCTATCCCTGTTCCAAATTTCGTCTCGATCAAACAAACAAACAAAAAAACACACAAACAAACACACACACACCACACAAACAAACACACACACACTTTCGCATTTAGAATGTTAGAATGTAAGATGAATTTCATTGAGGGTAAGCAAATTGTACATACATGTTCTAATTATCATATCCCAAGTTTTTTTATGAAAACACGTTAATTGAAATGGAAAACGCTAGTAATTACATTAACATAATTGCAAGTATAATTTCACACGCAAATTGTCAAGCTTATTCAGACAACAATATGTGAATGGAAACTTCGAACGAATATTTGTATTGCATGTACAATAGGGTAGATGACTAATTATTATTCCAATGTCCGTCTGGTAGACTATTTAAAAAACATATAATACGTGTTTTTTATTTCTTACGGAAACGAATAGTTTCGAAGATATATTGATTTGAAATATCGCATGACGTCACTTTTTAGTATGATTTATACTCTAAAATAACATCCCTCCCACCCTAAACTTTGATTCGTTTTATCTAAGTATTGTTTCCTTTCGCGGAGAACCTAACGGGTAACCGGGGCACCGGCTCAACGTGCAGGAGAAGGAACGGGGTGGTTTTTAGTCAGTAAGAGTCTGACACTCCCTCCCGCCTCATCCAGGCGGGAGCAGTAATTCGATGATTTTCCCGCCTTAAAAAAAAATACGACAAAATTTAAAAATACGTGTCTAATATTTTTTCATTACCTAACTGACGGACTAATTCGATTTTTAATATTCATATCCTGTCATCATCTCTATTTTACATATTTAGATTACCCATTAAAATTTTCAACCTTAACATTTTGAAATAAAGTTCAAAATCATATTTGACAATATTTCACGTAGCTTCACCCCGTAGATTTATAACATACTAGTTTTTGTCTAAGACCCGCGTGATTTAAACAAATGCAATTTTTATCTTACACCACATAACATCACGCCTTTTATCCCCCAAGGGGTAGGCAGAGGTGTAAGTACATTATGCCACTGTACAATATAACACCCACTTTTCACTATTTATGTTATGAGTCCCATGTAATAGGGGGTGAGCCCATTGCCATATACCAGGCACAATTCCAGACTCCGTGCTACTACTGTGATTTTTTTTTTAAATCCCAGTATTACTTTGCCCGACCCGGGAATCGAACCCGAGACCACTTTTTATCTTGCAATTCCAAAGTTTTTGTGTATGTGTGTAACTCAATCACGTCAAAACGGCTGATAGGATCGGGATAAAAGATGAAACGGATATAGATTATGGTCTGGAATAACATACTACTTTTTATCCCCACGGTAACGCAGTCAAAGCCGATGGCAGAAGCTAGTTCATAATATGAGGATATATTGTATGATATTTAAACAATGATGTCAACTATGTTTTTATAATAACTATCGTGAGACATACTAAATCAACCAAAAATCGCGGGTTACTCACGTGAATATACTGAGAAAAGCTCTACTAGGAGGAGTTCTTCCTCATCAGTAGGCTGCGCGACATCGTCGCGACCGCGCACGCTGCTCATGAGGAAGAACTCCTCTGTGGTTCGAAATTAGTAGAGCTTTTCTCAGTATTCACGTGAATAACCAGCGATTTTTTGGTGAATGAGGTCAACTTACCCTGGCTCCTTGGATATATAGTCGTACATAGCCCTTGCGTGAGGCGGTAGCTGCTTACCGCCGCCCTGAACACCTTGTAACGCCTGTAACAATATAATACAAACGTTAACAAAATCATCAACAACGTTAACCTTAGTAATAATATAAATGCGAAAATTTGTGTTTTTTTGTTAAGGGGGGAAAATCATCGAATGACTGCTCCCGCCTGGGTGAGGCGGGAGGGAGTGTCAGACTCTTACTGACTAAAAACCACCACGTTCCTTCTCCTGCACGTCGAGCCGGAGCCCCGGTAAGCGGTTATGTTCTCCGCGACCCGGATCGGCATCGGCCCTGTTGGGCCCCATCTGTGGTGGTCTGAGGCCTTAGTACGATTTTCTTTTTCGTTTAAAGTAATCGTAACGAGTACGCGTTCTGCGTTGTATTTGGCCGGCTCCAATGAACCAACCAATCAGAGGCCTTAGTACGAGTTTGATTTACGTTTAAAGTATTCGAAACGAGTACGCGTTCGGTACTCTGATTGGCCGGCTCCAAAAACCAACCAATCAGACAGCAGACGCTGAAGGGATCGAGTTGAATGAAATAGAGGTTCTCAGTTTTACCTGTATGTATGTTTGTTCGCGATTGGCTGAACCGATTTTGATGCACTTTTCAGTATATTAATTAACCGAGCAGTCGGTTTTTTCAAACGTAGTTCATTAAACAATTATTATCTAATCTTACCTGGGAATGTCCGCTCCTTGATGTCCTTTGTCCAGTCGCCGACTTCCTCGGAGCCGAGTTCTTCATACCTTCGAGGATCCTCATGAGGAGTACGTTCGGAGGCAACTCTTCCACCTTCGCTTCCACTAACACCCTGCATTCTGGACATCGTAATTCTTTGTGCGATTCTATAATCACCTAAAATGAAATAAAAGAATTTCGTTAGTTTATTTTGGAATTGCTAAAATGTTCAATTTAGAAGTTTCGTGAAAACTACCGTCAGTTCCTTTATTTCCTTATACAGGTAACAAATCAAACACTGTCTACCCCAACATAGCATTGTTGGAACGGCTTCTAAGTTAGACGAAAATCATTGACTGGCTCATAAAGAGATGAAGACAATTTTCGTAACGAAATTCTACTTCAGTGCAAATAAAAAGTCCACAGAGTTTAGTTAGATCCGTTTACTTTATAGTAACCAAATAATTGGTAGCAACCGGATTTTGACTCAACAGAAACGAAGGGCATTTATCATCCCACGCTAGTTGGGGCAATAAATTGAGGGAAATGAATTGTCATAGTAAAGCCCGTAGGCGATGGACCTATTCTAGTTTATGATCGTGAACTTTGAGCTAGTATGATAAAATCTCTGATCTAAATGTGGACAACTTGATGATTGACGTTTTGATCAAGTTGTCTATCACTGTGGTATCCAACAAAGTGACGATCTCCTTTAAGTGGTTCAAAGTAATTCTCATTAAATACAACGTGAAAGTTGAATGTTCTGTACTCCTGTATACCAAATATACCAAAGCTTTTAGTGTTTCCTAAACAGGACTTCACCCTCCTACAGATTCAAAAACATTGAAAAATATCTATTTGTATAACTTAATATTATAGTACCCAAATGTAGTGAATACAATACTGGACACAGACACAGATATCGATCTATTGGGCTATCTGCGTAGGAGACAATAAAGTGAACAAGGTCTATGAGTCCTGACTGTTCCCACGCTTAATTTACATCAGGTGCACAAATTACTAAGTGCACGCACCAGTATCCCCTTGGGCCACTGATAGATAGACACTCCTACAACCTGAGCCAATTCTTTCTTTAATAATTTCACTTTCTTTAACCATGGACCTTGTCGCGGTGAACCTAACGGCTTACCGGGGCTCCGGCTTGACGTGCAGCAGAAGAAACGGGGTGGTTTTTAGTCAGTAAGAGTCTGACACTCCCTACCGCCTCACCCAGGCGGGAGCAGTAATTTAAAAAAATACCATGGTCCCTTGATAATTAGTCCGGTCAACATACAAATTCTCTTTTTGTTTTGGGTCTGAATCACTAAAATGATTATAAATAAACCTTTTCACAAGTAGTTAATTTGACGAAAGAGGAAATCTAAAACTCCCGTTAAAATATATGCTCATAGCTCATAGTAATATCACAGAATAAAGAATGTTTTTAAATGGAAATTGTCCCTTGAGAACGAGTAATAACATTCATGAACATCACATTATTGAAATGAGAACTGAAATTGTAAATTATAATGAAAGTTTACTTTTTGTGATTTACGGTAACCGCTTTAGTTAATTTCTTTTCGGTATGACGAATGTCTGAGAGAAGGTTTAAATGACGGTAAAGTAAAATATAGTAAGCAGAGAAGGTGATAGAGAGGTAAAATACTTTCATTGCTGCGCTGAAACAGAATTGATATTATGGGTTTGCTTCATTAAACTGTCAAATACCAAGCGGTCACCGGTGACCGCAACCTATTGTTCTATAATTGTGTCTGCAAAACCGGTACTCGACGAGTTAAACTTCTTTCTCCTATTCATCAGAGAATGGTACGTAATTAGTCATGAGCGTCTGCTATGGTGTCTACCAACGAGGTAAAATTGAAACAACCAACAACCAAATTAATACACAAAGTAGAGAACTGTAGGTACAAACACAGAAAACTTTAAAAAAATCTGTTGTAATGTATTATCAAAATGGATAACCCACTCCCACGAAAAATAATACCATAAAATTGTTCGCAGAAGCTTGTTGAGTCACCAAAACAATTAGCTAATGTGCTCGTGTTTGCGACTAAATTGTGTCTCACTTAATTAACGTAGGTAGTTTCTGCCAAAATGGTCAAGAACAGTGTAAGTTTAATATGAACGCACCAACATAATAATGCCAGTACAAGCAGAAAGATATATTTTCCACAGTTACGACTACTTAAGAACCATTAAAAACCTACACTAAAATTACAAATGGACTGAAATTAGCTCATGTCTACAGTTCACGTGAACTGAATAGTCCGGTCAATTTAGACATTGGAAGTTACATAAAGTCCCAACAAGCTGAATTTTTGTGAAGTTGTTCAAAATATAATTATAAACAATGTCTAGAAGTTCCCCATCATTCCCCTGTAAGGAAAAAATTTAATTCAAGGTCAAAGGTCAAAAAAATGAGTTTTTCGCGATTTTCAGCAAAACGGTAAGTTTTATCATAAAAGTACCTCAGACAAATATTGTAGATCATAAAATTATCCATAAAAATGTATCAATACTTTTTTTCTTACGAGCCACCGTTTCTGAGATATAACGATTCAAAAAAATATAAAAGTTGTTTTCGTCACAATATGCACACGTTTCCACGCCACCTATGAGATAGTGTACTTAGCGCATTTTTTTTAACGTGGTTCCCCAGTACTACTCCACGGGTCAGTTGTGATCCTGTTTAATGTAAAACTATTGCAAAATAACGGAAATTTTCGAAGATTGAGAGAGATAAAAGCGATGTAAATGAAAAAAAAGTGTTGCAGTTTATTCGTCTTATTCATAAGTTTCAAATTCTTGTGCCTCTTCTTGATCTTCTTCTTGTTCCTATTCTCCTGCTTCTTCTTCATCTTCATTTTGGATGCAAGTAAATTGCGTCAATAGCGATGTATCGCATGATACTTCGTCGGAGTCAAACGAATCCTCCATTGTTTTGTGATTCAATATTAAAGTAAAGTTTGAACTGGCTCTAATATATTGTTGACCAACTTCCAACCCCAGTCTGTAGGGTCTAGCTGATAACCAAGCTGCACTTGAACTTGGTAATATACTAGAAAAAGATTTTGGTGAGCAGCAACTGAGGTTGGAGGAAGACAAGCTAATTGAATTTGTTTTTTTTTTCCTATTTTTGTCTCTCCCAATCTTTGAAAATTTCCGTTATTTTGCAATAGTTTTACATTAAACAGGATCACAACTGACCCATGGAGTAGTACTGGGGAAACCACGTTAAAAAAATACGCTAAGTACACTATCTCATAGGTGGCGTGGAAACGTGTGCATATTGTGACGAAAACAACTTTTATATTTTTTTGAATCGTTATATCTCAGAAACTATGGCTCGTAAGAAAAAAAGTGTTGATACATTTTTATAGATAATTTTATGATCTACAATATTTGTCTGAGGTACTTTTATGATAAAACTTACCATTTTGCTGAAAATCGCGAAAAACTCATTTTTTTGACCTTTGACCTTGAATTAAATTTTTTCCTTACAGGGGAATGATGGGGAACTTCTAGACATTGTTTATTATTATGTTTTGAACAACTTCACAGAAATTCAGCTTGTTGGGACTTTATGTAACTTCACTCTCATTTTTTGGTCTAAATTGACCGGACTAGAAATCTTATCTCAAAGATGTCTGTCTGTTTATATTATGAATCGCGTTGTGTTTTGATAATAATTTTTGCATTTTGGCAGTACCTACTTAGTTTATAAAATTGTGACAGATACAGAGGGCGTAGTGTGAATTTTTTACGTTGACGCGATCGAAACGTTACCGTGTTTAGCCCTCTTGTTAGTTAATTAATTCGAGCTGGCTAATCAGAGGGCTATTAGTAAGAGTATGTACGTTTAAATTAATCGAAACGAGACCGCGTTCGCGCTCAGAGTGCCAAGTACGAATAACTATCGCATTCGCAACGTAATAGTATCGAGCGCGTTCGGCACTCTGATTGGCCGGCTCCAGTGAACCTACCAATCGCAGCGCCGAAAGCGCTCGATAATATAACGTTACATATTCGTGGTTGGCAATCTGATTGGTTAGTTCATTGGAGCCGGTTGTCTTGCAGAAACTCGCACTAGCCACTCAGTATAGTCTACAGCTGAGACGATCTTTAGGTAGCTTATGTCTGGAGCAGTCATTACGACTTACGACATTGTTTCTATTATGACTTCATGTGTTATTTGTTGATTGTTTACTGTTGATCTAATGAGCTGGTCAGAGGTGAAATAGTCTATCAGCTGGATATACTAATTACTAGGCAATGATTCAAGGTAGAAATAAGTAGGTATTCACTCCCGGCACTTCCGATTATACTTGATGGGTAGTAGGTACCTACCAGGTGTGTTCACTACAGACATAAAGATATTTGAATTTATGTTTATGTGATTAAGTAATATTATTGTTTAGTTAGGTACTTAAGTACATTTTGTTTCATGCCATTACTTCTAGAGAAGTAGAGACACATAATTTTCCAGGCTTGTTTTTTGTATGATATGCGATTTTCGTCCTGTAACTGAAGACTAGAGACCCAATTATCCCCCCCCCCTCCGGAAACCCTAACAATCTTCAAATTTCTAATCCTCAAAATGTCGGTAACGCATTTGTAATGCTCCTGATGTATCGGGTGTCCATAGGCTGCGCCGATTGTCCCATCAGGTGATCCACCGACGATTAAAAAACTAAGAAAGAAAAACTACCTACGATTGAAAGTTAAAGTTTTACGTCGGTTCGTTATTTAAAGCAAGCATTTGAAGGCTAAACAATAAAACATAGAAATCCGTCGATTTTATCTAATCATTCAATTATAGGCAACAGCAAGTTTAGTAAGTCAAGGTAGAATGTATTGAGGATGAACAATAACTCGTGCATAATATTCATGATACGGATAAATAGAAAGATAAAATACTTCCTGTACAAACACATTAGTCTTCTTACATGATAGTTAAAGATAGCAGTTAATAAACTTATGTTCAAAATAGTTTTTAGAGGCGTTGCGAATACGATATCCGGGAGCTATGGCTGATGACCATGGATTCAGGATATAGAGTACCTATTCGTTAGCGTTTTACATTTGTGTAAGTAGCGCTTTCTACAAAAATTCGGCTTGTTACATATTTGCATCGAGTGGCGGGAAAAGAAATTGTT